ATAATATGGTTTGAAGGAAATTTTGGAAGAACTGCAACATTACAAAAATCCGTCAAATGGTGCTAAACTGCCGAACTTTTCTCAGGAATATTTAGAAATTCGCAATTTTCTGGAAATATCGTAAATTACATATCATGCATTGGACAAACTAAAAACTAAGTTCGGGCTTCACGGAATTGAAGCATCGATATTTCTCTTGCCCGAACTGAGGTCGGCCATTCCAAAATTGGTGCATTTGCGTTTCCCGAACTGATTTCGAACGTCACAGACAAGGGGTTAATGAAGTCGAAAAATGGTAATTATGTCCACCTGATGTATTTGTATCTAATGGTTAGGCAGGACGTTAAAAAACAACTATAGTCATTTATGAAACAGATTTCAACATCATATTACATAGATAATGATAAATAATCCTACGAAACTGAAGCAGAAGTATAGAGAAGATAATTTAAAAACTCCATTTGCTTGTCTGAACAGGTTGAACTCTACTTCCCTACTTATAAAAATTTTATTGAATAACAACGATATTTCGTAACTACTCTGCGGACACGAAGAAACTGCTTCGATAAGAACGATATTTATCTTAAAAGCACTTACAGGATTACATTTTTTTTTATTTATTTAAAGCAAAATTCACTTTTTACGACATTCAAGACTCGAATTGCTTTTTTCCCTTCTTTTCTTAATTAATAAAAAAATCAAATACAGTTTTATGACTCGATTAAAAATAAGTAGTAAAAATAAAAATTTTCCGGGATTTTTTGCACTTAAGGTTGCACAGTTCCTGGAAGTCTGATTTGCAGAAGAATTTCTTATCAGTATTTGTTACTATGAATGTTATTTTTCTACANATTTTGCTATTCGGAATTTATTTTAAAAATTATATAATGCAAAGTTGTTTATTCTTAGTTGTTTTTTTAATACAATTTATAAAAGGTAAGATTCTCAAGGGCCCCCTGAGTGCCTGGGGCCCCTGGGCACTGCCCGGGTGTGCCCATGCGTTAAGACGGTACTGCCCAATGCCTTGGGGGTAGCCGCAATCTGGGAAATATGTTCCCAATAGTTTGGTCATGAGAGCTCTCCAAAGTTTAGACCCCTTAACGTTCATTTTACTTTTTGCATATCTCAAGAACTTCTAAAACGAACTGAAAAATTTTTGCACACAATTATAAAATTCGTTTTTCAAATATAATTCCATGAAAAAAGATTTTTTTAGTGAACAGTTATTACTTTTTATAAATTTTTTTAATTAATGATCCAAAAATTATGAATTGTAAGGTGTATAATTTTTTGCATCATTTTAGAGAATATAATTTTACATGGTAAAATACGAAATTTGAGCGAAATCTGTAGAATAGTTCCTAAAAAAAATCGAATTTTAAACATTTGACTTTTTTGAAATTCAATTTCTTAGGAACTTTTCAACCGATTTTGCTAAAATTTTGAATTTTGCCATGTGAAATTGTATTCTTTAAAGAGGGGCAAAAAAAAAATTATGCCTCACAATTCGAAAAATTTTTTGACCATTATTAAATAAAATAAATATTTACAAAAAGTTATTTTTTGGATCAACGAATTTTATAACTGTGTGCAAATTTTTTTTAATTTGCTTAAAAAGTTCTCGAGACATAGAGAAATAACATTAAGGGCTCCAAACTTCGGAGCGCTCTCCTGACAAAACTATTGCGATTTTTCTCAGATTGCACAGCTACCCTCTATATTTTGGAGGTCAGAAATTCGAATCCTTCGAAAAAATCGAATTTGTATTATTCAGAGAAAGTACGTTTTTGTGTCTGATTTCGTAACGTAAACAGGGTGGCCACTCAAATCAGATTTCAAATTTCCCTGATTTTTCCAAGTTTTCCAGATAAAAATCTTAAAATTTCCAGGTTTTTGTTTCTTTTTTTGTACAAAGTGTAGGATGTGTACAAGAAAAGTGTCGGTATCATAAAATATTTTATTCAAAATATTATTTTTTTAACATATCATCTTGAAAAAAATAATTTATCTTGACAATTTGGCAAGATTTTTTATTTAATTTTTTATTAATTCCAAAATTTTGAATCAAAAATCATTAATGCAACAATTGTAAAAATTTGTCGACGACAAATATTGCTGTTAGCGATTGTAAAAAAATGTGATTGGTTGGTTTGATGAGAAAAAATAATTTATAGATTTCTTTGAATGGGAGTAGAAAAGCTTTCAGAAAAAGGGTGCAATATAAAGTCTATTATTATTAAATTATAACCAACTAATTTTAGGAGAATTTCATAAAGTTAAAAATACAAAAACATTTTGTCAAAATAGAAAAAAAAATTACCACCAAAGCGTCGGAACAAACTTGAGCCATAAATGGATTCAGCCCAAGGACAGAATTTAAAAACAGAAGCTAATTTCCTAATCCCTTTTTCCACCTCCACCAGAATCTTTCCTAAATTGCACAGTCCCATAGCGGTCAAAGGTTTCTACATTCGTTTAGCAACCGTAGCAGAATTTTATGTGGCATTCTAGTTTAACAGAGATCTTCAGATTCTAGTTTAACAATGGAGCAAATTTTGATGCAAGCAAAGTATCGCTAAGTTGATGATATTTCAACTGTTTGGCGATACATTTTCGTATAAAAAAGGTGGGTATAATGGATGAAATAATTTAAATTAAGAAAATTAGTAAATAACTTAAATTGGTGAAATTAAAAAAATTATCAAAGAAAAAATTTCTAGCTTTTCTTTAAAATTCCCTGATTTTTCCAGGTTTTTATCCAAATTTCCCTGATATTTCCAGGTTTTTTCCAGTATAAAAAAAATTCCCTGATAATTCCAGGTGGCTGGCCACCCTGATAAAATATCGTCTGCACTTATTAATTAGCATATTTGAAGTCATCCCTTCGAGCAATTAATATTAAGTCCTAGAACGTGAAAAAGCGATAATAATTAGATCAAAAGTTACTCAAGGTGGTCCATTTATTTTATTTGAGCACTGTACATTTCAACTAATATTGGCACTTCAAAGATTTATTATCAGGAAAATATGAAGACAAATCTTCAATGGAATATGAAGCGCTTTGCATTGAAGCATATATTGTGTTGAGATGCTTTTAGATTTCTTTAATCTGTAATTTAAAATCCAACCAAAAATTTGTGTAAAATTTTAAACTTAATTTTACAACTTATAAAAATGTAAATGGAGAGATATTCAATAGGTGAAAATCATTCAAAAGAATTAACATCTAATTGATATTTGTTACATGGTGAAAACATTGCATGGCACACAAGCTTCAACTGAAATATCAGTATCTGAAATCTTGATAAGTATTCTTCATCATCGTCCGATTGCGCCATAGCGAACATAATATGGTTTGAAGGAAATTTTGGAAGAACTGCAACATTACAAAAATCCGTCAAATGGTGCTAAACTGCCGAACTTTTCTCAGGAATATTTAGAAATTCGCAATTTTCTGGAAATATCGTAAATTACATATCATGCATTGGACAAACTAAAAACTAAGTTCGGGCTTCACGGAATTGAAGCATCGATATTTCTCTTGCCCGAACTGAGGTCGGCCATTCCAAAATTGGTGCATTTGCGTTTCCCGAACTGATTTCGAACGTCACAGACAAGGGGTTAATGAAGTCGAAAAATGGTAATTATATCCACCTGATGTATTTGTATCTAATGGTTAGGCAGGACGTTAAAAAACAACTATAGTCATTTATGAAACAGATTTCAACATCATATTACATAGATAATGATAAATAATCCTACGAAACTGAAGCAGAAGTATAGAGAAGATAATTTAAAAACTCCATTTGCTTGTCTGAACAGGTTGAACTCTACTTCCCTACTTATAAAAATTTTATTGAATAACAACGATATTTCGTAACTACTCTGCGGACACGAAGAAACTGCTTAGATAAGAACGATATTTATCTTAAAAGCACTTACAGGATTACATTTTTTTTATTTATTTAAAGCAAAATTCACTTTTTACGACATTCAAGACTCGAAACGCTTTTTTCCCTTCTTTTCTTAATTAATAAAAAAATCAAATACAGTTTTATGACTCGATTAAAAATAAGTAGTAAAAATAAAAATTTTCCGGGATTTTTTGCACTTAAGGTTGCACAGTTCCTGGAAGTCTGATTTGCAGAAGAATTTCTTATCAGTATTTGTTACTATGAATGTTATTTTTCTACATTCGAAAATGATTTCATTTAAGAGTAAGAATTTTATGCATCATTTTATTAGCTTTCTTTGAAAATTTTATCGATCGTAATTTTTTTTTTAAATACTTAAAATATTAGTTTTGTCAAATTTAAATTATTAAAGCTAGAACTTTAATATTTCTGCGACGGCTAAGAAAATGGATTTCTTATTGATATAGATCTGATAAAATAAATTTTCTACCCCTTAGAAAAAGTTCAATTTCATTTTATATTCAGTGAATCATTAAACTCTTACACAGAAACCGAATTATACTTTGTGTAGTCATCTTAAAAATGCAAATATTTTATTATATCATAAAATGATATTGGAAGTATTTTTTATAAGATTTGAAATGTTATTTGAAATAAATATGAATAGAACAGTTTAACCACTATGCCCCAAGGAATTTGTAGTTAGCAGAAAGTTCTGTACTTCAGCATATTGAATGTAGAAATGTAAGCATTATCCATTAGTGGACAGAATTATCTACAAAGAAAATATTACAGAATGGCAATTCTATTACACTGCAAAATAAAAAAGATTTTTTTAAGATGCTCACAGCAGTACAAACTGCATTAATTACGGTAGTAATATTTCATTCATTCACTAAAAAATACATCATTTAAGATATTTTAAATTTTGCTTAGGGGTCCCCCAAATTAGCACGAAGAAATTATAACTATCCATTCCAGGTCATACTCTGATCTGAAAAGTAAACAATCAACATGAATGGACAGGAAGCTTTTCTATTAGTTAACAAACTAAAATTTTTATTCCAGATAAATAATAATTCAAAATGATGTGAAAATATTTTATTTCTTCTGGTATAAAAGTATATAAAATCAATTACAAATATTCATATTTAATAAAATCTGTCAACTAGTAAAGATGTAGATTAAAAATTATTCAACATAAAATACTCTCATTGTGTTAGTGGCACCAGCTCCTTGTCTCCATCCTGTAACTACTATTACCGCATCACCAGTCTTGATAAATTTACGATGTTTTCCAAACTTTATAGCACATTGTATTCTAGCATCAACATCATGTGGCCAATCTGGTAATCTATCACCTGAAAATCATAAATGTTAAATAAATATATCTCTTACATTACCTCAATGAGTAATAGAAAAGTACTTTTTCTTACACATATCAATAATTTCAAAACCATGAAGTTTTATTTCATATGCAAATAACAATCAAAATTTCATTAATTTTTCTTAACTAAAGAAAAATGTAATAAACTCTACAAATAAAATTTGATTATCTTCACAAAACTTATGAAGCTAATCAAAAATATATATGAGATATTGATGCCAATATGTCACTACACTCTCAGAAGTATTAAAAAAAAATATTTCTTTTGTACTATCAACTTGTAGCTTGAAACTTTACTTTTATAGATGAAATGAAAAGTATGATAATCACATTCTATTTAAAATACTAGGAAACTTTTTGTAACAGAACCATATTATTATTATTTTTCAATTTTACAAAACTAATTTTTACACTCCCAAAACTAATTCCCTTCAGGCAATTAGTTTTGGAAGTGTAAAATTTAGCCCCCTCTGTTCACATCTGAGGTTTTATTTTTGCAAGTTAATGCTACTTTACATTCTCGAAACAGTAATAACTAGAGACTATGTTAGAGTACTGCAAAAGTTTATACAAATAAAATATCTTCCTTTTTTTTTGCTCACGGTCCTATGTGTTTCAGTTCTGCAAGGGGTTAGGATCAGTCTCAGTGAAAGTGCAAAAAGAAAAAAAAAATTTATTCTCTAGTGTTATTCTGAACTGGAGTCTCAATATGCTTTTTTATTTACGCATATAAAATTTAATTTACTCAAACATTAAAAGAAATAGTGTTAAACAGAAGGAACTAAAATAGGTTTAGCTAAATTATATAAAGGCAAATTTTAAATCCTACTTTAAATAAATTTTAATTTTAGAAAGACTGATTTGCAATTATCGTGAGACTATATGGAGTGCATAAAAACGTTTTATTGAGATAAAAAAGCACTATTGCGAAAGAAATAAATTTTTACACACTGGGCACTAAAAATAATGGAATAAGAAGCTTTATTTGATATATTGCATCTCGTGAGCATTATTTCACACAACTATGATGATAATAGACCGCTCAATAGAAACAAAAGATTTAAGTATTTAAAACATTTAATTACATAATAAGTTCTGTTACTGTTATAGTATTTTTGTTCACTTATGAAATTATAATATTTTGAATAGGCTCATTACTCCCCTCCACTTACTAGAAATTTCTAATAAACTTTTTTTTTCGATTCTTCAGTTTCTTTTAAAAAAAAACTAGGTTTATGCTTGCATTTTCCCATTAAATTTTTTATTATTTTTCTAATTATATTATGTTTCTCTCTCTAAATATATATATTCATATCATTCCATATATAAATTGTCACAAGGAGTTAAAACTCCTTCCAAACATAAATTAAAATTACGCCACTGCCTATCCCCTCAATTTTTTGCCGGTCTTCATTTAAACTAAAATAAAAAATAATCAGCATGCCCATTACAGTATTGTAGTTTTGGTATAATTCTTTGCTTAAAAAATATCAATCTCTATTTCATTTGTAATTTGGATTGTTTAGATTGATTTTCGTAAAAGAAAAAAAAAAAGAAATTTCTAAGCACAGTTTCAAAACTTCTGGTCAGTCAGGCTTTTAATATACTACAATAACAGATCAAGGGTGAAAAACGGTTGAGTCCATGGACGTGAATCGTTCTTCCCCTTTCATCTTTATAATGAAATGATTATTATCCACATCATAGCAACAATTGTAATAACTGCAGAAAAATGGAAATTCTTCAGTTGGACTTTTCAGTTAAATTTCAAAATTTAATGTTCTTAGAAAATATATTCTTCTTCAAATTGTGTTTTGCTTCTTACGTGATATCAAATATATTCAGAATAATGAATAAATCATTCAAAATTTTCCTGAATAATAAATTACAATTTATTCATTATTTTTAGCCTTTATTCCTTAGTCGAGAATAATTTCTTGAAATACTGCTCAACAGAAATGGGCACTGAACTGACGACAACTGTAATTGACTACTTATACAAAGTATATAGTAATAAATTGTTTGAAATCAAGATTCCAAATAATAATTTCTGTTAAAAAGAGGCTCCAATTACTTGCAATCATAACAAGAAGCGATTGCAGGTAATTATCATTACAAATAACCCTGATTGCCAGTCATCTTAATCTAAACTATTGCAGGTAAAATTTTTAAAACAAAAAACATAGCAATTAGAATTATGAGAAATTGATTACCGTAATTGTATGTCTTAATAAATTTACTTCATTTACCAAATGAAAACTTTTAAACATTGTACAGAAATATATGTATATTTATAAATATAACAATCGTACCAGTGGCGTACGCAAGGGAGGGGTTTAGGGGTTTAAACTTCCCCCTTGAGCTCAGACAAAATGGTAAAAATGAAAATTTTAGTAGAAATTATGCGGGCTATTATTTTTTAAGACTATATATTTTTATTTGCCTTATGCCTACTTTTTTTTCTCACGGTATTTCTCAGAACACTGAAAAAACATTTACTATAATAGGGTTGTACTTTTGAAACCAAATTCACGTGATACTGTTACGGACTGGTTTCTTTCTGTCCTGCCAGTCGCGATAGTTTTTGAGACTGGCTTTCATTCGCGAGGTCGTTACGCGATGATTCTGGAATCCTACACGTTCTGTCGTGTTTGAGACAACTCGGGAATTTTGGAGTTGAAAATTTATATAAAAGAGGGAATGGAGAACAGTGGAGTTAGTTAGTCAGACTAAGAGTTATCTCTGCCATTTGTCTTTCAGAGCTCGTTGCTAAATCTGATTTGTTTTGTCTTAACAAAAAGCTCATTCAATCGCCGAATCCGTCATCGTCGTTATTTCGACTAGTGAAGAAATTAGTAACAATACTATTGGAGATACTGAGCTCGTTGAAGTTATTCATTCCAGCTCGAAGCTTTAAGATCGTAGCATAGCGGATACTTCTGTGCCAATATATATATACTTGCTGTTCTTGGATCTTTAGGATGTCAAAACGCAAGAATTTAACAATTTTTAATTATTTTGAGAAAAAATCACGACCTGAAATTAGTGAGGTGACAGCATCTAGTACCAATGTAAGTTTTTCTGTTGAACAGAAATGTGTCACTTCCGTTGAAGAAAACGTTTCTAGCACATCAAAATCTGATGAATGTGAAAGTGGCCCTCAAAGTGTTACTTCCCACCCATATGACATTGGACTTTTTTCAGAAGATATTACATGCAAGAAGATATTACATTATGTTCTTAAACTTAAAAAATCAAAACAAAATTTAACTAAACAATGTTGTCGAAATAAAAAGTCAAATTATCCAGCCGTCTAAATTAGGGAAATAATAGTGCTTTATTACATACTCGAATTTCTTTTAGTAGTTTCAGAAAATCATGAACACCCCCCTTGAAAAAATTCTGCGTACGCCACTGAATCGTACAGTGTGAAAAAAATAACATACACATTCACATATAGAGTGTATGTAATAAGTGTCAATGAAAACAGAACTCTGAATAATTTTTCCTCCATAGACAAGATTTTCATGTACTAGAACTTAATGTCAATGGTTCAAGAGCCTGATCTCAAAAATATTATTAATTGGTGCAGATGATATTTTAAATTAAGAAATAAAAAAGTACTTCGTCGGAGTTAGCATGTTTTTGTTTTTCGTATTTGCTCAGATTCTGATTTCTGACCTTAAAATAAGGAAGGTAGCCACAATTTGGGAAATTTAATAGCAATAGTTTGGTAAAAGACAGTGATCAGAGGTTTGATATTTTGCTATATCGAGACTTTTTTTAAGTGAATTGAAAATTTTTTTCACATAATTACATGATTTGCTTATCTAAAGATAAGTTTACTCAAAGAATAATTTTAACAATTATTCAGCATTTATAATTATTATTGTAGTGTATTAATTGTATTATTATTATAATGTAATGCATTATTATTATAATTATTATGAATTGTAAGGTATACAATTTCTTCCATCACTTCTAAAGAATGTAATTTTAAATGACAAAATAGAAAATTCGAACAAAATCAGTCAAATAGTCCTCAATAAAACTTTTAAAAAATTTGCAAACTTTTTAAACTGTTTTTAAATAAACTGAAAAAAAAATTATTTTTTGCACAGAATTATTTTTGAATGAACAAATGTGAACGTTTTGAATGTGCAAAGACTTTTCGAACAACTTTAAAATTTCTCGAAAAAAAGTGAAATACACAAAAATTAGACTTAATGTTAAGGGGTCCAAACTTTCAACTGCTATCTTCACCAAACTATTGGGAGAATATTTTTCAGATTGTAGCTACCCCCACCCATATTGTGAGGGTCAGAAATCCCAATTCGTTGTTAAAAAACAAGTTTGTTTATTCAAAGGAAGTGTACTTTTGTGGCGGATTTCGAAACTTAAAATATCATCTGTACAAATTAATTAGCAAATTTGAGATCTACCCTGCGAGCCATTGAGCTGCAATTCTAGTAAATGAAAATCCGATTATTAGATAAAACGTTATTGCAGAAAGCTATATTATTTTTTTTGCCTGAAAGGAAATCTTATTAAATTCTCTATTGTGTTAATAAAAGGTTTACATTTAATATTCACTTTTTGATATTAAGTTATGCAGTACTATACATACATATCCAGTTATAATTCCTTATACAGTGTTTTATAGCTGAAAGTGCAGAATTAGGAAAAATAAATTACGTTATACCCTGCTATTACCTTGTATTATCAATCAGTGTTTAAGACATTCGATAGGGTGATTGAAACAATAAAACAGCTATATTTAAATTAATTACATACTTTAAAGCAAATATTGAATTTATTAGAAATGTTTAAAATATTATAAAACATTATATACAATACTTTTATTTATTGTATACAAAGCTGTAAAACAACTAAAAAAAAAACAAGCTTAATACAGTATAAAATCAGTTAACGTTTTTCTTTTATTTAATAATGTTTACTTATTAATTATGTGGGAACTGTTCATCTCAAAATGTTTATTCGATTATATTTTTGCAAACAACATCCACAGCTATTAGTAAAGCTGTTTTCTTTTTTTTATTGTAATAAACATAAATATGGTTATTCAAAAAGAGAAATTAGATCATTTACTTCATAGTCTACTATGCAGTACTACCTTGCATGTATATACAAAAATGATACAATGCAGTACTTTAGCTCTAAAAATATTTATTTATACAGAATTATTCTGTATCTCAAATTGAAGCAGATGAAAAATTGATTATTTCACAGTTTATGACTGAAAACTTATTCTTCTACTTTAGAAAATTGTTTTAAACAGTTCATAACAAGAATTAATAATAATTTAATTAATTGAGATAACTTCTATTAGCCACTTGCAATATTGAAAATGGTAAATTAATATATGTGTACTGTATGTACATGAAATGTATGTACGGAAGTACACGCAATGTACAGTGCTTAAAACATTATTTAATAATGTTTACTTATCAATTATGTGGGAACCCTTCATCTCAAAATGTTATTCCATTGTATTTTTGCAAACAACTATTAGTAAAACGATGTTCTTTTTTTATTTTAATAAACATAAATATGGTTATTCAAAAAAAGAAATTAGATTATTTATTTGATAGTCTACTTTGTAGTACTACCTTGCATGTATATACAGTAATGATACAATGCAGTACTTTAGCTCTAAAAATATTTATTTATACAGAATTATTTTGTATCTTGAATTGAAGCAGATGAAAATTTATTATTTCTCAGTTTATGACCGAAAACTTATTCTTCTACTTTAGAAAATTGGTTCAACCAGACAGAACAAGTCTTAACAAGAACTAATCTTAGTTTAGCTAATTGAGATAACTTCTATTAGCCACTTGCAATATTGAAAATGGTAAATTAAAATACGTGTACTGTATGTACATGAAATGAATGTCAGAAGTACACACAATGTACAGTGCTTGAAAGAGGAAGACTCTAAATAACCTTTGATCTAATCATCGGATCTTCATTTTCTAGGACTCAATCCTAACGGTTTGAGGGGGTGACTTTAAATATGCTCATTATTTAGTTAGACGATATTTTAAGCTATGAAATCCGACATAAAAAATTTACTTTCTCTGAATAAACATACCCTTTATTCAATGGATTTGGATTTCTGTCTCCCAAAATATAGGGGGTAACAACAATCAGGGAATCATAGTCCCACTAGTTTGGTTACGAGAGCAGTTTAAAGTTTGGATCCCTTAATGGTAACTTTACTCTTAGTGTAAATGTTCATATCTCTTCCCTAATACTTTTTAAGCTGTACACAATTATAAAATTTGTTTATCCAAAGAAAATAACTTTTCCATTCAGAAAATAACTTTTAGCAAATATTTATTATTTTATTTAATAATAGTAATAAAAAAAAAATTTGAATTGTAAGATTTAAAATTTTTTGCACAATTTTAAAGAATGCAATTTTACACGACAAATTACAAAATTCGGACAAAATCAGTAGAATGGTTCCTGAGGAATCAAATTTCAAAATTTTTCATTACTTAAAATATCGTCGATGCTAATTAATTAGCATATTTCAGGTCACTCTTCAAACCAATAAGATTTTCTTCTAGAACGTGAAGCTTTGATCATTAGATTAAAGTTATTTAGGGTGGTCGGTTTATTTTGTACAGACAGCACATGCAATGTATACATACAAATTATGTGTGAGCATATGTACGCTTGTACCTAACTATTAGTGTGCAAAAGAGTACATACAGCTTACCTAGGTGTGTACAATTGCACACACATAGAACCTACACATGCTTGAATGTAATACAGTGTTCATCCAGTAAATCAAACAGTAGAATTTATTTTAATAAACTATTTATGTATTCTGATCTAATGATAAAAATAATAGATTGCATATAATCCTGATTACAATGCAATCAAGTCAACTTGAAATTATGATTAAATTTATTTTTTTGTTTTGTAATTGTGCCGTTTTTTTTGTTGATGTAATTGTGCATTATAGTTACTTATATTTTAGCATATTAATAATCGTAAGATTATGATTTCTTGTAATCTTACTTATCTTGATTCACTTTTTGCTGCGATTACAAGTTATCATAACAGCTTCTAATAAAAAATTAAGTTCACTTGCTTCGTCATTGCATACAATCACGATTACAGGTAGTTGATTACTATGCAAATAATCATATTCGTCATCAAGTGCTGTAAGTGACACACAATTTTTAAAGAAAATTACATAATTTTTGCATTTTGCTTACATTATTCAAAAAATTAGTCAAGACTAATGAATTTATTCTTCAAACATTATTCAAAAATTTGCATATAAGTAATCATTCAGAATAAATTTTATTCTAACTAAATTAAATCATGACTAAAATTTCCCTGAATGATACCCATGACAGCATAATATTCTACAAAATAGATTAAAATTTTTTTCATGAACTTCCCAATATACTCACTTTATTAACTCTTTTGTGCAGGTAAAATTTTTTCTTTAACAAAAAGATGCCCTATTTCACACATTTTTTCTGGTAACTAGAGTTTTATTTTTTTAGGAAATTCTTAGAAACTAATTATGCAAATTTTATTTGAAAAGTTCATTCAACAAGTTTAGTGAATGGTCTCGAAGTTGAATAATTGCATAGATTCAGATATCACAGACACAGTAAGAAACATAGCATCAAGTGCCACCTAGCATCGAAAAATTACTGTTTAGCAAAATTGTGTAGTCAAGATTTTTTTCATGAATTTTTGCTAGTCCCTAAGAAGTATTTTGAAGTGCACTAAATATTTTTGTTTCAATTTTTTGAATGATCTGAGGTGGCATTTTAAAGTGATGTTATTGTACTTTCTCTGATGGTACAAGTGTATCATTTTAAAATCTTAATCCATTTAGATTAATCATGAAATGTCAGTAATTTAGTTTACTTTACCTTCATAATAAATAGGCAAAATCCCTCTCCATAAATGAGCTTGACGTGTTGTTTGAGCAGTACGTGATACAGCAATTATGGGACATTTTGGTCTATATTTTGAAACTTCATGAGCTGTTCTATAATTAAAAAAGAAATAGTGTTAATAACAAGGAAGTCACATTAAGACCTAATTATCATTTAATAATTACAAATAATGTAATTTATAAATTCTCCTCTCAGTATGTTTATTCATATAATGAAAAATTGATGCTTGACGTTATAAAGTTATCCTCTTAATACAGAAAGACTATTTAAATGGAATTGGAATGGATTAATATAACAGAAAGCCATAAAATTAACTGAAGGATATATTTTTCTCTCAATGTTATGAACTAACACCATTAGTATTTTGTGTATTAGTCCAGGCTTGTTTCCCTACTTGGAAAAGTCAGAGAATTTGGAAATTGTCTGAAAAGTTAGAGAGTTTTATTTGACAAGCCACAAACATGCTATCTTCCTGGCAACATTTTTTATGGAACACATTTCTAACACAAGAGTTCTGCTCTCATCTAATTGGCTAGGAGCAAAATTTTTATGTAGCCATAGCATGCCATGGTATTATGACTTAGAAAACTTCAACTGGAAAAAAGTTATTGGTTGCTAGAATCCAGAACAGATATAAGAAATGATGAATGTACTTTAGATTATCTATTCTTATTTTTAAGAAATTTAATAAGAAAAATAATCTTTTATGCAAGGGGATTGCTGTTCCACATGGTAATTATGAAGCAATAACTATATCCTGGGGTCGATCCAGGTTTTATTTCTTAGGGCTCACTTTTGTGAAAAATGGTAATTATTTTTTTGAAAATTTTTTAATTAAAGAAAAACATTCCGTTTGAGCAATCACTACTTTTTTTAAAATCCACTCATTTTTCTGATTTTTTTTAGCAGCTTCCCTATAGCCTTTTAAATTAACCCCTAAATATTTATCACTACGCTATGATATGCAAATTTGGAATATGAGCATTTCGATTCATGATTCCATCGTAATTTGAATTCATTCAATGATTGTTCTTTTGGCAGTTACTATTTTTTTTTTTGAAATTTTTCACATGGTTTTTTAAATCCATGTTATTTTCTGATCGTTTTTTCAGCCTTTTCTGTTTGTTTATTTTAATTACTGTTTTTTGCTCTAAAATGATGTTACAACAATACGCTAATTTGTGAAATCCATTTTCAGCGAGCTTGGTTTGTGACGATTCCATTGTTAATTTCCATAGATTTTCAATCGTTTTACGGCAGTTATCTAATGATTTTTCAAACTCCCATGCTTTTAATACAAGTTATTGCGCCATACGAATTTGAGTAATCACTTTCTCTGATGCATTCAATTTGTGAAAATTGCATCGTAATTTAACATTTGATGATAGGTTTCCTAAATTATTTTTTCTTTTGCCCTTTACATGTAGAATTACAATATTTTAAATAGGATGTTATTAAGAAGCATTCGATTCAGTCTTAATGTTCGGTGATAGTTTTTGCGGCAGTTCTCATTTTTTCGGCCTTTTTCACACGGTTTTACGAATTCTGATATTTGGTACGATGTTATTACGACATTTAAATTAGAGTTTTCACTTTTTGACGGGTTCGATTCATAACAATCCCATTATAACTTCACGTCATCGAAGATAATCATTTCTACAAGATACAAGGTTTTAGGAGCTTCAATATTTTTAACATGCTATTACGACACATGAATTTTGACGTTTTTGATTTGTGACAAAGCTGTCATAAACTCACGTTGGTTTTGGTCATTTCTTCCTAGAAATTCCTGCAAAAAAAATTTCGCGATCATTTTTAAAAAGTGAAATGTCATGAACGGGTGATTTTTATAAATTATAATTTTATGAATGGTTCGGTTTTACAAATTTGAATTTTGTGAAGGGACTGTTTTTTAGAATTTGAATGTTGTGAAAGAGTGTAAAATAAATTTCGCTTTTTTTAACACTCTGTTCTTGTCTAATTTACTCTTTAATATATTCCTTGTCAGCAACTTTTGAAGATGATAAAGCTTACGTTTTGTATCATTGATCATTTTACTTTTGATTGTGTTTAATTCCTATTCATTGTAACATTAATTTATATTTTAATAAAAAATTTCGGAATACTTTTTGTCCTGCACACTTTTGCTTTGTGGAGACATAAATATCTATATTAATTTCTATTGGTACACTACTAGAAACTTGCTTTGTAAAAACAGAATCTCTTTTTCCAGAAATTTCAAATAAATAAAATTCTCTATAAAAAATTTTTTACATAGTGTAGTGTTACATTTTTTTAAAATTAAATATACAAAATTAATGTATAAATTACAAATATAAATTTTTTGTTGTTCACTGTATATTTTGACCATTACATTGTCAGTACAGAAAAATCAGGGAATTTTATTCTTCTATTTGAGTAGCACCTCTGTAAGTCAGTCAATCTTGGCAGTGGGGAGAGTGTTTGTTTATGTATAATAATAAATTTCATCTTTGCCTTTTACTTCATAAAAGTAGTAAAAGCAGAGTTAGAAAGGCAAGCAATGGGTTAATGGTTTTGTAAGGAATGAACTGTTAATTTACAGTTGATATAAAACTAATGACTCCTCTGATAAATTTTTAAGTATTTAAGCAATTAAACCATAGTTAAGTAACTTCCATTCAATACTGAACCACTTTAACACCTAGACAAATTACTCCAGTATCTCTAACTTAAGGTTTCTAGTTTTTAAAACTAAATGCTAGTTTGGCACCATATTTATCCTGTTGATAACAGACATATTAAGCACTTTTGGTCTGACACTTCAAATGTTTTAAGAAATACATGATTAATCATTTTTTAACTTTATGTGGGGAGAATAATAAGGATTTAATACAGCTTAAAAGCAAAAAATATATTTTTAAACACCTAATGCTATATAAAGTAGCAACCAGTTCGTACCTTTTACAGAAATTTTTACTTATGTGCAACAAGTATGTTGGTTTTGTAAGCTTAATGTGTATATCCACGAATATACACATTAAGTTCACAAAATGTAGAAGTTTCTTTGAAAAATTGGATAATTTTTGTTGGTCTTCTTAATTATAGTTTAAAGTTATTGAAGGTAATTCGATGGAAATTACAAGGAAAAAAAATGGATTTAAAAATTTCACAAGATATAGGTTTTTAATTTATTTCATAATAAGCAAGCACAGAAGAAAGAAAAAAGAAATTTCCACTGAAAGATTATATTTGAATATTATAAAAATTTAAAAAGTGATAGCAAAGTTAAGATTAATTAATAATTTTTTTAGGGTCATTGAAAATAAGGAAGATTACACAATTCATCATTTTATATTACAAAACAAAATAAACGATTTATATGTAATACATGTAAAATAAGTATCTGTCTTTAACTATTGAAAATATTTTTACAAAACTTGAATATTTCAGCTTGACTAAAAAAAAAAAAAAAGGTATCAAATTGCATTGGTAGAAAATAAAATTGTGAATTTTTTAGGACTAAATATATGTCCTGGTTTATAACAGATGATATTACCTTATTTTTAATATATTAAATCTTGAATTCCAACTTTTGTTGTTTAAAATAGAAACTTGTTACATTTCTCATGGCATATCAGCTCTTCCTTACTTTTCACAAAAAGTAAACAATACTCAGTGGATAAACTGTACAAATTTACATAAGTAGCTTGACAGTTAAAGAGTATGTTTAAAATTTCCAAGCCAATTTAAGCATAACAAAAGTCTAGTGTAAAATTCATTCCCTTACAAAAACTTCTTTCATAATAACCATTTCTAAAGCAAATAAATAAAAAAAGGCATTTGATTTTAGATAAATTTATCATTAGCCAGATTTGATATATATCCACATAAAAAAATTCAGTAATTTGAAAGGAAAGAAAATTTGAACAAAAAGTAAACAAAATTTGTATAAAATAATCCCAATTCCATTTATGTTTCAATGGTGTATGTTATCTAAACACTTTCAATGTTAAAACTTGGCTCTAACATCCAATTGAAATAAAATTTTAAAATACTAACCTTCCTGTTGTAGTAATTACAATAATAGCAGAAGCTAAACACTTCATTGAAGCATTCACAGCAGCAATTGCAACCGTGTGCGTTGAATCAGTTGGAACAGGTGCCTTTAAACTTAATTCTAAAAATACATGACGTTGAAATATGGCAGCTTCAGCTTCTACACAAATGGCATTCATCATTTCTACAGCTTCAAGCGGATACTGTCCTTTAGCTGTTTCACCAGATAACATAACACAATCAGCTCCATCCAATACTGCATTTGCAACATCAGAACTTTCTGCTCTAGTTGGTCTTGGTTTTTTAACCATACTTTCAAGCATCTAATATAAATTAGTAAGCATTTAAGTTATATACAAACATTTGTTTAGAATATTTCCAATATAATGAAAAAACAACAGGTGCAATGCAATAAATCATATTCAAATTATGTAAAAATCTATTCAAAAAAATGCTTCAGTTCTTGTAGTCGTGTTATTTTAAATGAAATTTTTGGAACAGAGTGTTGCCAAATGAAAGATAGATATAATTTACCAAAAATAAAAGTGGCTAGACTAGTTATTGAAATATATATATATATATATATAAAAAGAACTAATTCCAATTTTAATTTGATAATACCAACTATTACTATTACTCTATAAATGCAACTTATGTAATTTAATAATTTCAAATGCCAAAAGTTGTAAAAGATTCATATGATTAGGATTATTATTAATGTTAATACTACTGCTTTAATGCTTAATATATTATTTAGTTATAACCCTAAACCTTAGTTATAAAAATTGTACATCAAACTGTCAAAACTATATACAAAGGTCTGTTCTGTTTAAGTCGAATCTCCATATAATGAGGGCAAATTTTATTATACAATAGCAAAAATCATATTAAGAACAACACTCATTGGATAACATGGATTTTTAGAGTTTTCGAAACTTCCTTTGTCATCATATCAAAACAAAATGTTATTTTTGCAGCGTTTCATTCTATTATAAGCGGTTTTCAAAATTACTACTGGACTCATAATAAAGGGATTAAAAATAACGTTAACATGAGATCAGAACGATACATTAATTTCATAATTATAACATTTAAAAAAAAACTTTTTTTTAATACATATACAATTTTCTTTTTCTGTTTTTAAGAAATGGAAAAAGATATATTTAATTTTCTACAGAAAGGATCCTTTATCTGAAATTATAAGGATATACTCAATAAAAATTGGTAGAGTAGAGAATCAATTATCTTGGATGCTCAGGACCATCGCTATCCCGGCTGTCTGAATTTCCCGGTTTTCTGGATCGACCAAAAAGTGTCGTTAATCGATGTTTTATAGAACCTGAATTACAAGGGAAAAGTGTAACACAAAGTCAGAGAAAAAAGAAAAGCACAAAGCACTCCTAAATTTAAAAAGGAAAAAAAAATAGTAGAAAAATAACCTTTAAAGGAATAAAAAAAATTGCAAGTTTAGACAAGTAAAACAAGTTTAAAAAATACAAAATTCTCATTTATTTTTTAAAAATAATTACAATTCCTACATTAACTAATATAAACAAAATCAATGATTAAATAACGCAATATATTTCATACCTAATTATACGGGGGAGGGAGGAACAATAAAATAAAAGGAAAACCTATTAATCTAAATAAAAAAAACACTTGAAAATTATCGGACCGAAACAATAGTTAAAAAAGGCACTAGCATAAATATTAAAACCCGGAACAAGGCAAGGTTAGCAGAATTAAAAAAAAAACCTAATGATAAAATTTATGAATAGAAAGAATTAATTCATTGAGTGCGAAATTTATCGTGAAAAGAAAAAAAATCTAACATAGTGGAATCAGAAAACAAAACTGCAATATGCTTCATAAAATAATCGTATGTTTAAATTAATAAACAATTTTTCTTTTCTTTTTTTTTATTTATAAAAACACGATTTTTAATTAAAGCAGATGTGATTCCACTTCAAGAAAAACTTGCAAATGATACCGCTCTTCCAAAGAATCAGAATTTATTTAAAAGAAAAAGATTTTATTTTTNAATCGTATGTTTAAATTAATAAACAATTTTCCTTTTATTTTTTTTTATTTATAAAAACACGATTTTTAATTAAAGCAGATGTGATCCCACATCAAGAAAAACTTGCAAAGAATCAGAATTTATTTAAAAAAAAAAGATTTTATTTTTATTAATCGATGTCAAATAGATAAATATATTTCGCTCTTTCATCTTCTGTTCACTGATATGCATGTGCAATGCATTTTCCCCACCCCCTCGTAAATCAAAGAGAAAACGAAATCAGCTTGCCACTCCTTTGAGTTTGATTGACGGCCTAAAGGAGAAAATAAAACATTCGTCCCTTCCCTACCTCCCTTTGATCTTCAAGGTCACCGAAGAAATGACATTTCACTGGGTAAATGGGAGAAAATTCTCCCTTTCCTCACATTTTCTTCTACTCAACTTCAAGGATGAGTCCAATTTCTGCTTTTTTTCATAATCGTTCTAGTTTAAAATGGTGGGAAAACCGAGCAAAATTTCCCCCGGTTTTCTGGTTTCCCGGATAAATAGTTCTCTACTGTATTGACAATTGTGAATTTTGATTTGTGCAGATAAGATATAGTGTCTCTTAAGAGTCTATAATAATGAAATACTGCTATATAGTAGTAAAAACATGGAAATAACAAGAAATGGAAATTTAGGTAGTGTATTAATCTATATTTAGATACAAACACTTCACCCCATATAATAAATATGTTTGAATGCAGTTAATACAAGAAACAAAAATCTCAGCATTTTGCATTAACCACTAAAGAAATTTGTCTTTAATAGCAAACATTATTATGTAAGAAGATTAAATTACCAAAGAAAATAATAATATTAATAACACTAAAATCGTTCAGGTGAATTCAACAAACATTGTAGGCCATTTTAGAAATGTATTTTATTATGCCAGGCCAAAAAGAATAATTATATTTTATTATTAACATAATTTACTTTAAAACTAAAAACAAAAATTTTGAAATTTAACTATTTTTGACGTTAAATTTGTAAAAAAAAAAGGTTTGAACACAAAAATTTTTTTGAATCTGATTAGTGCAAATCTTACTTGAGGGTGACAGTGATGTAATGAGGATCTAAATTATGTACTTAATTTTTTTTTAAACTTAAGCTTTAAATATTCAACAATATCACAATTATTTAATAATGTTCTAGCATTTCTTAAAATAAATATTTGTTGTAAAAAGAGTTGAATGTTGAAATGAAAAATAAATTGGCTAATTTATTATATTAAACTATTTTTTTTTTTCAAATTTTCTATTCAATATTGAGCTTCTTTATTCTGAACATGAATGTACATTGAATCCTACAGCAAAATTCATCTCTTAAAAGTAGTTAAACACCGTTTTTATTTGAAAGTAATTCGTAATCAGAACATTTCAGGATTTGAAAAAAATCATGATATTTTTTAAAAGAAATCTAAAAAAAAAATCAGATTTTTTTATTTAAAACTATATTTTTTATGTTTTTATCAGATGACAAGTAAATTTTTTAAGAATATTTAACTTTTTTACTGACAAAGAATTTTTTTACAAACAAAGAATATGCAATTGAAATGTAAACTAATTAATATAAAAGAATAAATTTTAAAAATTGATTTGAAAATACTAAATGTAATTGAAATATTTGTCAAATTTTAATTATTACATAAAATCCTTAGAAATAATATTTCTTTCATATATGCATGTAATAAGACAATTTAAATATCCAATTATAAAATTAACTATCTGGTAATACGAACTAGAGTTCAATTTATGAAAATAGATATACATTTATCAGTTTACTATTTATCACAAGTTTAAATCACAAATATTCAATAAAAAAATTAAATTAAACAACTAGAAAAGATATTTTTTACAGCAAAAACAGAAAACGGTATGCATAACAACGGTATTTCAGAAAACAGTATGCATATATATTTTTTAATAATATTGATCAAAAGTAGTGAAAACTACAAAAAATTTTTTTATAAAATACTACAAATACTTATAATACAGCTAACATTTTCTAAAAATAATTACGGCATGGACTTTATATATGAAAATCTGGATATTTAGAGAGCACTTTTCAGCGATCTCCGAAAGAGATTGTGACTACTTTATGTTGCAGTCAGAGTGCACTAAAGACAATGCTATCAATTATTTATTTTTAGGGTTGAAAGTTAAATTAGAAATAAAATGTTATTTTAGAAAAAAAGTAAGCTTCACAAGCAATCAAACCTCTTTTCATTCTTTAAAGCTACATTTTTATGATGTAAAATTAAATGCATACTTAAACAAAAAACACAATTGTTTATTTATTTAAAATAGTTCTCTCATTCATAATTGGTAAATTTGTTTTTGCATATAATTAGGGGTCATTTTTATTGATGCTAAGCTATATACATCGAACTGGTTTCCATGAAGCCAACAGAAGTGACACTTCCGCACCAAGAAAATCACACCGAGTAAAATTAAAATAACTTCCGAAAAATCATGTACTTTCAATAACATTTTGCAGTCAGTGATGGTAACCCCTAAGAATGATAGTATGACCAACCTCCATTAACAACTATTTTACTGTGGAACAGAGAGCGGTCTCTCCCAAGAGGTTTCATTGCACAAATAACAAAAATAAATAGGTCATAATTATAGTTATATGAAATAGTTTTCTCTTCTTTATACAGCCTTCTTAACCAGAAATAGAACTATCAGTTTCAAAATAATGATCACAAGAAACTAAAGGAGGTAACACCTAATATTTAGAATTAAGTGAAATTTACAAAGTATGGTCATTATTTATGATAAACATTTGACATACATATTAACTTATAGTAATTCAAAAAAAGTCAATGAGTTTCACCTGTGTAGCACAGATTACAGGTTTATTCAGCATATTACACTTGGCTATCATCATTTTTTGAGCTAAAAATACTTTCTCAGGAGGTATTTCTATACCAAGATCTCCTCTTGCTACCATAATACCATCACTTTCTTGGATAATTTCATCAATTCTGGAAAAAAATCAATTGAATTCTATCATGTTTACAAAGACACTACATTTTATTTTAATATGTTGTGTCCTATTTTAGTATGCAAAAAATTTCCCCAATGTTAAAATTTTACAAATAAATTATATTAAATTTATATTAGCATAAAACTTATTACCCATGTTTTAATGAAATTCTAAAAACATGGTGTTGTAAGAGAATGAGAGGAATAGTTTTTTTTAGAGCTTTTGCTCTTTTAAAGTGCTTAATAGAATTTCATAATGACTGTCCTTTTAGTTACCAAAGATAGTACAAAAGCCCCTAATTTTGCACTTTATCTGACATACATATTAAATCTATTTGGTCTTAGAATACAAGTCCTTAGGCTCAAAATTTCCAAAGTGAGCACAAACTTGCTCCTAATAAACATTAATGAGAATTGCCTTCTTTTAAAAATTCATTTTATTTTTTATAAAAATTATAAGAATAATAGAATAATTCTTACTTTTTAACTCCTTCATGATTTTCAATTTTTGAAATAATTTTTATATTTTTTCCTTCTTCACCAAGTATCTTTCTGATTTCTCTTACCCCAGCTGCATTTCTAATGAATGAGGCAAATACAGTGTCAACCTTTAAAAAAATCCATTTATTTTAAATAAAGCTTAGAAAGCAGATTAAGTGCATGCAGTAAGAATCAAAATTGTAGAAGAGGCTATTATGATACATCTCAAGAATTGCAATTCCTCTAAATATATGCAAATCATAATTTTTTTAAATTATTTTTTGCACTCTCATTTAAAAATGAGATTTTCCTCTGTAATCATAACCTTCAAATGGTTCAATATATTCATTAATCATATTTTTCTTGTTTGAAAATTTTATCCAATCTTTTTATGAAATGTTGTGCAAGGTGGTTTATTTTAGAGTTAAAACTCATGGTATTATTTGCATCCTTCTTGATTTAGTTTTTTTCTCCTTTTTTTCAGTTCTCTGGACATATGCTATTTATCAAAAATGGTTGCTTCAAACCATGATAATGCTATATGCTTAAAGTGGAAATAAAATTTTCTAAAGGAAGGGGATAGAAGAATAACATCAAAATCGCAAATAGCTAAATTATTCAAGATCCTGAAGGGAAAAAAACTTTACTTATAATTATAAAAAATTTCAAAATCTAGAAAAAGTACTCAATGAATGGCTTAAGTTTATTTGCAATAATAAAAGATGCTATTTGAAAAAATTTAAATGCATTTCCAATGTTTAATGTACTATATTAAATAATACTTGTACTTTATTGACCTAAGAAAACTGCATATTAGTCAATTTCATTGTTCTATTTAAAGTGTTGAATGTTTTTGCCAAATTAAGTCTCGAATTTATGAAACATAAATCAATATTTTCACTAATTTCATGTAGTCATGATATAGCGATCCAGGTTATAACACACATTTTTGTTTGGACCACGAAGTTGTTATATCGAGCGTTGACCGTATAACTAAAAGACTAAATACTGCTACACAGAAATCGAGAATTATTCTACATTATAGGAATCTCAAATAAAATTTCCTTTGTTATAATCACTGAAATAACGAGTTTTCCCCCATTGTATGTAAATTTTACATATTATAGATAATTTAAAAAAAGTTGCTTTTAAGTTTTATTGTGATAAGCAAAGTCATCAAAAGAAATGCAAGAATTAATTAAGACTCTATTAAGTAAGGAGAGTATTCAATTAAAGATAATACCAATTTGGCCCATACTGATATTTTTTTAAAACATCTACAAAAGATTTAGCAAATAAAAATCGAAACAAAAAGTTTTAAAACAAAAAGTACAAATAATAAAGCATGAAAAGTATAATTCTTCATTGAGTTGTAAATTTGAATTAATTTTTGACGTAGCAAATAATGTCTAATAAGCTATATAATTTTTATAAAAAATTAATTTAAAAAAGTTTAAGAAAATCTTTAGTAAATTTGGTTTACTGAACTTTGTTTTTCTTTACCGAAGTTTTAATACATTTGGTATATTTACGGCATATTAATGACATTTAATATTTTTTTTAAATAGCTAAATAGATATCCTTCCAAATCTTGTGAAAAAAAATTAGATTAGCCTATCTATAAGTGAAAAGAAAAATTTTATAATGCGCTTAGTGAAAACAAAATATTTTAATCAGTAAATTTAATGTAAAAACAACATTGTAATGTTTCAAGGGACACAAAAACAAGCATTAGATTTCAATATTAAGTTATTAGAATTACAATAAATCAAAGATTAAGTATTAAATACACTACTTTTTGCTCAACACCAAACTTTAAATCCTCTTTATCTTTCTCAGAAACAGCAGGAAGATCAACTTCAACGCCTGGTAAATTTACTCCTTTCTTGCTACCAAGCATTCCCCCACTCTCTACAATGCATTCAACACTAGTAGATTCTGAAAAAATAGATCTAAAGTTACATCTATAATTACTTAGAAAAATTATAATCAGCAGTTGGTAAAATAAGATAAAAAGTTAACAACCTGAACAGCTTTTGATCTAATGATTGGGATATCATGTCTAAGATAAATCTCATACTAAGATACAATCTCAACTAGATATATCTTAATTGTGCCAACTAATTATAGACAATATTTTAAGCTAAAAAATCAGACTTTTGCTTGCAAATTTGGATTTTGACTCTAAAAAGTAGAAGCAAGGCTGCAATATGAAAAATCTGTTCTAATTTTACTTCACTTTGAATGCAAAAGTAGGAAAATAAAGTCAAGCAGACTACATTGCCAATGAAATCTTTAAAGAGTTTATCCCTCTAAAAATTAAATAATGTATTTTTTATGTTTCTATCGTTGTTTAAAATTCGATTTTAGTATTTAAATCATAAAAACAACTTAAAAAATATTTTTAATTACAAAAAAAAATAGCTAAAAGTGTAGAAAACATGCCCACCGCTCATTCTAGTGAGTTTAACCTAGATTAGAATTGGAGTGTCTATTTTCTTTTGTGTTTCTATTTAATTTAAATGTTTTTATATATTTCATCCTTAATTCAATAACTTAGGAAATAATTATTTATATAAGTACTTTTTTTTTTCAATTGCCAATAGTTTGATTATACATTTATGCAAGGGTTGCAATATTTTTCAGCCACAATCCATTTCAGCAGTCAGATCGGCTTTGTAACCCAAAATAAAAAAATTCATCACTTCATAAAATCTAACATAAGTTTGGATAATCCAAATGAAAAAAAGGAGAAAGTAGGAAGGTTGAACCAGGAGAACAACAGTAATCATTTTCAATAGAATTAATACTCTAATTGTGAACAGAATAGATAAAATATATCTCCACTTCCTTGTTTAACCAATCAATGTTTAAAACAAAAAAGTTTGTACCATTTAACTGTCTGTGAAATCTAAGCAACTCACTGTCAAAGAGAGTATGATTAAGTTTAGGTAATAACTTCTTGCATTATTAACTGACAACAACACTGACTAGTAGTATTACGTCTTAATATATATATAGAAACTATTGAAAAGCTTAAAATTAATTCAAATTATATCTAATATTAATAGTATTTGCACAGTTCTTAAATTACTTTTTAAAATAAGTCAGTTTTATTCAGATGTTTCCTTCATTATTAAAGGCAATATGCAATTATTGCTACCCCTATTCATACGATTTAGCCACCATGGCTCTGTGGATAAGGCAATTAAAATTTTAGAGATTAAATGCTTGGTGAGGGCTTGAAGCTCACTCAGCATCAGATGAAAGGGTACCAGCTTGTCTGAGGAGTTAAGGTAGTTGGTGCACAATTTTACCACCATCATGTAATTGGTCACAAAATTGTGGAGCTTTAATGTCCATGTGGCTGTTTATGGAATCAGTTTACTTTCAATTTATATAGAAATATCCTTTTTTTTTATATGACTGCAACCCTTCCATTGTTACATGAAGCTCGTTTGCTATTGAACAGACACCCAAACTAAATCATTCATTTCAATATAGCAACCAATATTTGGTTTCATTACCTTTTCATTTTCAAGACAAAAACACGTGTTAAAGCTTTCAAAACAATAAAATTTTCTATTCACAATGAATCAATTATAGCAAAAGAGTTGAGGAAATTATTCAGACTGCTATTTATTTTTCAGTTACTTCTCAATAAATGTGAAACATCTTAAATTCTTCATGAATGAAAAAAAAGTGATAAGACCACTTATTCTTATCTTTGATGGTTCTAGACATAATCTATTTCATGTCCAATTCAATTGTTTCATGCCACCTGGTACAGGAAAATACATATATTGATTACTTTTCCTCATGTTGAATTCGAAGTATATATTGCATCCCGGGTGGAAATCTAATCAGTCACCTGTATGCATTCATAACCTCTAAAAATATCTTTAGGAAGGGTTCAATAAATTCATCAATAATTAAATTTTTCTTTTTGCAAAAAGTATTTACTCTTTTTGTGTAGTGTTGTATCAGGTGGTTAATTTTGGAGTTAAAGCACATAGTATTCAAATTTTTCTGACTTTTTTTTCTGGATAGATTAAGCAGTTCTCTGGATATGTCTTATTTATAATCATATGATTAACACCATACATAATCATATTAAAATTTTTAAAGGAAACAGGTAGAAAAATAGTGTTCTTATAAAAATGAGTTCAATATTTATGAGTTATGAGCAAATATTTGCTATAATTTTTTGTACTGATAATAAATCGACCTCACATTATAATGTCTATTTTCATTTGGACCACGGGGATTTTTATATCGGGCCTCAACTATAAGTCTCAAACAAATTTCATTAATTATATATTTTTTTTCAGTAATGATAATTATTTCTAATTATGTTGAATCTGTTAAGCTTTATAGCCATATTTAAAGGAAGATATTTAAGGTAATTTATTAAATTTTAAGCTAGCTTTAAATAATAAAAGTCAAATAATGTTAGTTTAAAAGGAATAATATGAATAAATGCTTTTCAGAAAGTAAAAATTAATTAAAATTGTCTTTTTTATCTCTGAATTACAAAATGTTAGTGAAATAAAAAATTTTCTTCAAAGAATTAGGAAAATTAAGTTTTTTAAAGTTGGCAAAATTTATAAACTCCCTTTGACATAAATTTATAACCATTATAGTGCAAATAGACATCAATTATAAAAAATAAACATCAATTAAAGCTGTTGTCACCTAATGTTAAAATAAAGAAAAGATCTGCAATTATGTTTTTTATAATTTAATGGTTGAATAAGCTTCTACATTTTGCAAAACTTACAGACTATTACTTTAAAACAATTTGTAAACCTAAAAGTGTCTTGATGTGTATATTTTTCTCAAAAAAACACTGTTAAGTAAAGAATATACATATTCTAAAAATAAAAATAAAATTAAACAGTACTTTAGGAATTGCTTTCCAAATTCCAAAATTAAATTTTGCTTTCCAATATAATATGGCAAGTGAAAAGTTATTTAACAGCAAATAATTTTGCATAGAAAATTCTAAGTAAATTTGTAGCTCTTGAAGAACAAATAGAAAAGCTTCTTGAAATAAATTTGTAACTAGAATTTATCTTACTAGCTTTAAACCATTTTTTAAAGCATTTAACTAAGCTTTTTCAGCAGTTAATAATAAAAACTACTTACCAACTTTTTTCACAATTAACGAAATTAAACCATCATCAATATAAACTTTGTTTCCAGGAGCTAAAACTTTTGTTATATTTTTGTAATCAACATATACAATAGTAGAAGAACATTTTTCCTTATAAGCATCACTTGTTGAGAGTGTTACAACAGAATCTTTAACAATTTCAACTTCAGCTGATGGGCCCTTCAATAAAAAATTTTAATCATTATAAAATTTTAAAACAAATAAACATTAAATGAAGAAAAAAGAAATTTCATTTCATTCTTTCAGAAACAAATTAAAAATTTGAAAAAGGATGCAAACCCTTAAATGTATAGCATTGTAAATCTGCATTGTATGTTTAAAAACCATATATTGCTTAATGTAGCAACCTTAGCAGTCTTTTTTTATTTTTAATTTTATCAAAATTGTTTTATTATTTCTAAATGCAACTTGGTATACTGTTTAAATGCAACTTTTAAACATTGTTTATTAGTTCTGATTAGAATACTTTCCAGAATTCTGAAGTAGGGTTAGGATTATAGAAACTATCTGAAGTTTTTCCTAGATTCCAAAGTTATTTCCTAATTATTATAAATGCTAATTTCTTTTACTTATATCTATTAACATTATTAAAAATAAAGAATGAATATATCTTGTAAAAAAATTACGTGAGAAATTTCGATTGCAAAGTAGATTGTAAGTTCGCTCTATGTTGTTTACTTTTAAGATACATAACAAATGTAAATATATTTTTGCTGCATTGGTTATATTCATTCAGTCTCATAAATTATACATCAATATTGTTGCAATTACTTAAGATTTTAATTTGCATCCTTTCTTAATCTTAAGTATTATAATTCCAATAAGTGGTAAATGTTCTTCGTATATGTTAAAAAGCCAAGCATGTTGCAAAATGAAAGTTTTTAATTAGAAAGTCTAACATATTCATGACAATAAACTTTTAACACTTAAGCTCCTAAATTAGAAACAATGGTCACAGATTTTATAGTCACAATTGATTCATTATTATTGCTTAATTGATAGTATATATTGTTAGAAACATTATACACTACAAGAGAATAAGTCTATGAATCACGAATAATAACAATAATTGACTTATCTTAATGTTATATTGTAATATCTAATATCTTAATGTTATTATTTTGTCTAAATTACCTTTTTCAATTCATTATTCAAAACACATTCTCACAATTGGAATTCACAGCCAGCATTTTAGTTCTAATTTTAGATTAAAGCATGTAATAATTATCACAATAAGTGTTTTCCTTAAAGAAATATAAAATCCCATGAGAAACTTCTCACAAAGTATTCTAGCCTATCATAACTGTTGAATTGCCGGCCAGGTGGCCGAGTTATTAGCGTGCCTGACTGCGAAGCCAATGGCTGCAGGTTCAAATCCCGCTCAGGGCATGGATGTTTCTTTGTGTGTTGTTCTCTATTGTGTGATGCGTGAGTGTAGCCAAGCCTATGAACAGCTGTCTGTGGCAGTGTGGCATGGGTAATGTTGCTCGCCTCCGTGACTTTTGTTCACAGGTGCCCAACAGGTAAGGATAAATGAGCAACACTTCTAGCATCTTCTAAGGTGAAAAACGAAAGTTCAATGCCTGCTATTATTGAGAAAAAAAAATTTTGAATTATCCTTTGTAATACACGTTATGAGAAGTACTTGTAAGATTTCTTCTTTTATATCCCTATTATTTAATAGAGAAGCACTTAGATTTTGTGTGATTTAGATACGTGCTCTCTTTACTATGATTACAAAAAAGAGAAATTCTGTCTTTTTGCCCACATGCTTGTTTTATTTCCTTATTTGGCCAAACTGCCATGTCATATACAGTGTAAAGTACCGTATCCGAAATTGTCAAGACATTAGAAAATATGGAAAATAGATTTATCCAGGTAATATATACATAAGGTCTTAAAGGTAACAACATAACATGCATTAATCAAAAAAAAAAAATCAGCCATAATTAATGTTAATGTAATGCAATGCTATTTTTAATAGGTTGGTAAAAAAATAAAAGTGAGCAGAAAACAATTAGAACTTTTTTTTTCATTTGATATGATGAATTAGCTTGGCAGATAATCAGATAAGAATAATATTAAATAAAAGCCTTATATATCAAAAGTAAATTAATTCAATTTATGAAGAAAAAAATTAAAAACAAGGAACATAATTTAGATTTTGTTAATAAAAAGAAAACAAAAAGTTTGTTTCAAACACTATTAATATTCAGTTTAATTAATATTTATGGTTTACTTCTCTCACTCAAATTTGTTTTTCTTTAAGAGCTGTCATCTATTCAACAACTCTCTTAGTTTGCTTATAGAAGCAGAATAAATATTTATGTATCAGAAAAGCAACAAGACAAAATAATTTTTTTTAATTCATACCTTTTTTAACAAATTGCAACTTAAAAAAAAAGTTAAAAAAAGTGATAGTTAAAAAAAAATGAAAAAGGAAAAGATATTTGTTTATTTTGATAGTAAAAAAGTATCCAAAAAACAGGTGTTTTCTGTTTTTTGTTCTGTTTCTTTTTTTTATCATGGAATTCATATTGCTAATTAAAATATGAAAAAATGCAATAAAATTTTTCTTAACATGATTTTGTCAATTTTGTGAATTTTCTATTTTTTAAAGCTGGGAAACCTATAAATGTTTTAAAAAACTGCAAAATAATACAATATATATAAAACTCAAAATTATAATGAGTATATTTTTTAACTAAAATATTTGTATTTGATAAAAAAATATAAATTATACATATCAATTTAACTCAGCTAAATGAAATAACAAAATTACCTCATTCAATAAACCAGTCCTTATTTCAGGTCCTTTAGTATCTAAAGCAATTGCGACAGCTACACATGGGTGATCNGCAAACTAAAAAAAAAAAAGTTTAAAAAAGTGATAGTTAAAAAAAATGAAAAAGGAAAAGATATTTGTTTATTTTGATAGTAAAAAGTATCCAAAAAACAGGTGTTTTCTGTAAATGGATGTCTGGACATGGGAATTTGCACTGTATGTATATATAAAAGCGTATACATATATTAACGTGTTTATTAAAAGTGTATACATTATATAAAAGAGATAGGTCATAGTCTTTCTTTTTATCATGGAATTCATATTGCTAATTAAAATATGAAAAAATGCAATAAAATTTTTCTTAACATGATTTTGTCAATTTTGTGAATTTTCTATTTTTTAAAGCTGGGAAACCTATAAATGTTTTAAAAAACTGCAAAATAATACAATATATATAAAACTCAAAATTATAATGAGTATATTTTTTAACTAAAATATTTGTATTTGATAAAAAAATATAAATTATACATATCAATTTAACTCAGCTAAATGAAATAACAAAATTACCTCATTCAATAAACCAGTCCTTATTTCAGGTCCTTTAGTATCTAAAGCAATTGCGACAGCTACACATGGGTGATCTTTCCGAGTAGTAACTATCTTCTCGGCCTCACGAACATTTTTAATGGTACCAGCATGATACTAAAATATATTTTTCAATAAAAATGACATCTTGAAAAACCCTTTTACACTATTTATATCACATCTCTTTAAAAATACACAAATTATTTAACACATATTTAAAGAGATATTTCATTTATTCAAATTTTCTTACCAAATTTTTTTTACATGTCTTTTACCATTAAAACAAGGTTTACTGTAAAAACATAGTTACTTGAATACTGAGCAATATAAGAAAACAATCAATTAGTAAAACCTTATCCACTGCAATATATAATCTAAGAAACCATGTTTTGGAGAAAAAAAAATTTCTCACTGTAACAATCACGGAATTATGAAACGTAACATTATACAACTGTCATTAACAGCTGCAAAAGGTTTTAATATACACCTTTTCTGAACATAAAGACAAATTTCTTAGAAATATTCAAGTTTAAACCTGAATATATTCCTTTGGATTTAGCTAAAAAAAAACAACTCTATTTTGCTAAAAAACATCTATACTACAAAAAAAAAATTATTTTATAAGCAAAGATAAAATCATGAATAAAAGAATTAACTTTGATTATTTTTATTTACAATGATGAATAACATTGAAAATGTTTTCAAGAAGTGCATTCATAAAGCTTGAAACATTTTTTGATTCAGAAATGAGCCATCGAATAAGAAAAATAAATTTAAAAAATATTTTTTATCACCATTCACTTTGTAATTTGAAAAAAAAAGGCATAATTAAGAAATGAAATAATGAAAAATAAAAGCACAAATTTATAAATTGATTCCATACAGAAAATAATCTTAAAAAAATAATTAATATAAAATTTAAACTTTAAGGCCAGCCATTCATATGAACTGTACAATTTCATAAGTTATATTCATTAAAATAGCAACAAAATTAAGGCTAAAATTAAGCATTATTTACTAATATTTTGCATTGCAACATGCACAAAAGTTATTAGAATTAGAAAAATAAGTTCTAAAATAAGTTAAGATTTTTTTCAAATCTCAACTTACTCATGCAGTTTAAAATATCAAATGTAAAACAAGGTTCAAAAATCTAAAATAGTTATGGACTACACAAACTAAATATAATAGATGCATTACACTTACATCATGCGTTCCATGCGAAAAATTCATTCGTGCAATATTCATACCAGAATCTATCATATTAACTAGCATGCTTACATCCCTTGATACAGGACCTAATGATATAAAACACATTTAAAAAAAAAACAGCTGATTAATTTCAATTTATTATTTTGGTTGATAAATTTTATCATGAAATTTGTGGGGGAAAAAACTAAGTAGGGAAAAATAAAAAAAAAGGTTAGCCAATTATGACAAATAATAAGAATTGCTTCAACAGCTTATGAACAGATTTTATCCATGCAAAAGAATAAAAAAAAATCTTTATAAAGAATAAAACCATTATGATCAGCTGGGATTTTGACCCTACTCTCCAACAATAAAAAATATTTTTGAACACTTTCAATTTATTCTTAGTTTCAATTTTGATTTAAAGTCTTTTTTTCTTTCATTTATTAGGTATTCTCTAAAGAATTTTCAATTGGAAAAATTTACACAATTTCATAGTAAATTACTTATCAGGATAGGTAATTGTGGTTTTACCTGTAATGTAAAATATTTTTAACATATTTATTATATAACAAACTTTTTAGCAATAATTTTGCACATTTATTAACAAATAAATATAAAAGAAAGGTACCCAGTTAAAAAAATAATAGAGTTTGGGGTTAACATATAATAACCAATGGTCCCCAAAATCTTATTATTTGAAATACATCGTTTTTGTATCTATGTAGTATAAGCATTAAACTGATTTTAATTTTAAAAAATTTATTTTTTAAAAATACATTTTATGAATAGTAGTGGCAAAAGAATTTAAGTAACTTTAACTGTTAGTTGTGAAATTAATTTCTTGTTTTAACCCATATTTAAAACATTTTACTCTACTCTGAAATCATGAAAACTTAAATAATTTCTTACCAAAAAATATTTTAAAATAATTTTTTTTTTTTAAAAAAAGAAATTTTTCTTTTTATGGTTATTTCTTGCTGGAAAAATTCCAAGCAATAAATATAAAACCAAGTGCCTTTATTATTAACCTAAGTATAGAGTTACTGATGTTATAACAGGTACCATCAATTTTGAGAAAGGAAAGATAGGACAGATGGAAAAAAAAATTTTTTTACTTGGGAAAATCACTTAAAATGATCAATTACAAAAAAGCTTAAATAAAAACATTTAACAAAATAAAATTTTCTATCATCAAAATTAATTTGTTTACTTAATTCTCAGAGAAAATAGAATATTTTAATCATTTATTAAATCTGGAAAATTAATTAATTTAAAATCAAAATAGTTTCAGCAACTTTTATTTACTATCTATTAAGTCATTTTTCTTTGTTTAAACAATAACATTTAGTTTTTAATTACAAAAAAGTTTTTTTTTCTGATTTACTTAAGACATGCTAATTCTAATATTTCCAAGAAAAAGAGTAATCTTATGTAGATCAATTGAAAAAATTTATCACTTCATTGTAAACTTTCTTTCAATGCCTGGGGTCATACCAAACTTTACGTGAAAGGTCCTATTTTTATGAAAAGTCACTCATAGAATTTTCTGAAAATAGGGTCTTGTTCTTGTGAAAACTGACAAAAACTAATGGTTCATCCAGACTTTTTAGGAAAAATCTACTAAAGATTTTTTAAATCTAAAATTATCTTACAATCATGTTCGTTGTGCAAAGATTGTTTTTGTGAATATATGAAGATAGGGTTCTGTTTTTGTGAGAGAAAAAGACAAAAATCATATTTCAAGTAGTTGTTTTAAAATCATAAATTAATAACATCATCAACTCTGTTTCTGTTTTTCAAATGAATGTCCATTTTTATGATAAAATATTAGTTCCTTGAAAAGAAAAACTGGAAAAAGCATGGATAGACTTCTTGTTAGTAATCAGAAATTTACTATAATTGGATAAATATTCTTGAAATAATTATCTTCATGTAATTACAAAATTAGGTTTTACTGTACTCATTCTTTTTATAAAAGAGTTTCTTGGGTTGAAAGACACCTATTTCTGCAGGCTTTTTTTTTCCTTTATGAGAGAAACTTGCCACCCCTGATTGAAAATAACATAATTTTAAACTCATCCAAAAAATAAGACATTAAAATTACCAATTGTACAAATTATTCCAGTTAGCCTAATATGTGACGTAGGAGCATCAATATCCAAAATGCTCAAGTGATCCAGGAGAGTATATTCCTGCTGCTCAGAAAGCTTGATTGTCTTTGAGCTAGGCATCTTTAATTATCTAAAAATAAAATTAAAATGTATGATGCTATTATGTATAGAAATAAAACTACAGAGTACTTTTTGATTACGAAAATAAAACTGATAGTAAGATTTAAATTTTATATATCATAGTAACTATCACATTGAAATTAAAAATATAAATCCTGCAATGAAAATTACATGATTTTTTTCGGAATATAATTAGAACGTAATTACTCTAAGAAATGATAGCTATCATACAAGTGAATCCGAATTTTATAATTAAGAATGGCAAAAAATTATAATGACACTCAGAAAAACAAAGTTATAAGTATTCATTTTTGATATCAGAGTTCTAAAAATAAAATAAATTATTACTAAGTGAAGAGAGTAATACGGAAATAAATTATTAATTATAAAAGTAACATACTTTTCTGGAGAAAAAAAAAAGAGGTGTAACAGCAAAGACAGAGTGCACGTCACAAACTTTACTGTTTACTTTTTGTTAACAACCAGGTTACCGGCAGTTATCACGTGGATTTCAGCCTGCCTTCTGTTTTCCAAGCGCACTTCCTCATCAATCATCAATGTTCCGTTTTCGATGATCAAATGATCAAATCAGCTTCGGGTGCGATTATCAGCTGACGGCTGCATGGAAAAGAACGTGGAGGGAAAAAAAAATTTCTTGTCGTCATCGCGCACGTTCTAGAATTCTTAAATTATCATCGGATCGGAATTTGCATGCTTTTATTTTCAGATTATTTTTTTTCTACTATAATTTTAGACATTCCATTTCACTCGATATAACATAAATAAATCTACAGGCTTATTGTGAGCACAACGCAATTTAACTTTTTTTTCTTTGTCATGACTTTTTATTTATCAAGTGATAAGATATATTATTCCTTAATTATTTCCTATCTAAGTGTAAAAAAGAAACTGGGAAAAACCAATTTATCTTTCTAATTTTTTTTTTCTATATCGCGCATTATTTTAAATACCTTATTTACTTTAGGTCAATTAATTATTTACTTTAGGTCAGCATACTTTATTTACTTTAGGTCAGTCTTTGAAGATGATTAATTTTTATTTTGTATTTTTGTGGGCACCACATAAGCAGGAACGTAATTAATCAAAATTTTTGCAATTTATTTTGCAAGGAAACTATTTCACAAAAGAAAAAGTAGGGGGTAAAAAAGACTTATGCAAGGTAGAATTTTTTATGAATACTGATGCACAAATTATGTTTTCAAAAACATATTTATATTGAGTATATTCAAACTTGATGCAAAATTTTTTTTAAAGGTTTTAGGAGCAATAAATTTTTATTTTCATTTAACAAGGTATATAAATACCTTTTTGCATTATCTGAAAGAGATCGATTTTTTTTCACGCTGATTCACTCGAAACTAAAGCGTCATAGAAACCTTTTAATTACAAATTCATATTTCTCGTCCAATAATTTTCTGTAGTATGTATTTCTGAGCTTCATTCTGTTTCCATTATTTAATTTTTTTAATTAACGAGCACCGAGATTTATAAAATAATGCATTACAATTTATTTGCTCAAAACTATTAAGAATTTTATTTATAAACTAAAGAGAGAACTTGTTAGTAATATAGGAAATTGTTTTTTGTTTCCAATTGTCCGAAAGACTGGGTCACTAGAAAGTGGATAATTTTCGTATTATTTATGCATAATCTGTACGTTAGAGCTATAGAATCTTATTTACCAAAATGCAGACACAAAAAGTGGGTTTTATTAAAATATAAACCAAAAAGTAAGTTTCAAAGGGAGAAAAATCACAGCAGTAAAATAAGTAAAAATTGAGCTCTACAAAATCCTAGTGTTGAAATACTCTTAGTTCTAAGAAAAAATATAAATTATGTGCACTGTATTTAACTAAAATATATTTAAATATTAAGCTTGATTTGAATCAATGATGAGCCACATTTTCAGCAATTTTACGATCTTTATTTGTTGCATTCTGTAAATTAGAGAAAAAAAAATTAATTTGACATTCTTCATGACACAGATCTTTTAAATTTCAAATTTTAGTGTTGCTTAAAATGATGCAAGCAGTGAAAATATCGAACCTCCTCCACTAGTTACGGCATTCAAAATATCACGAACATCTTACTTTTTTTCACATTTACAATAAACATTCATGATTCCTGCAATGTTCCTTTAAACTATTTTTTCAATATGAAATAAATATGAATGTGTTTAAGGCAGGGAATAGGGAACTCCGTGCATTTATAATACAACATTCTAGCTGTGTTTGTTTTCAAAAGTATTTTGTATTATGAGAGATTATAGTTGACAGTCAAAGTCATCTCTACAGCATCCCTCTATAGTAAAGCCACCAAGAACACAGGACTTAAGAGTCCAATTTATTTTATATATATATATACAGGGCCAAACTAACCATTAAGCATACTAAGCACGTTTGTACATTGTTAAGTATGTAATTTTAAATGAAAAAATACAAAATTTAAAATGAAGTAGGTGGAATAGTTTTCGAGAAATCAAATTTTAAATACACGACTTTTCATAATTTATTAACTCAGAAACAATTCGATCTATATCATTCAAATTTTGTACATTGTTATTTAAAATTACATACTTTAAAATGATGTAAAAATTTTTGAACATTACAACTAAGAAAATTTTGCATCTACTATTCGGAAAAATAATAAATAATCATAAATATTATTTATAAAGGAAATTATCTTTGGATTAACAAATTTTATAACTAAGTAGATGTATCTTTTGATTCGTTAAAAAATTTCTCTAGATTTAGCGGAATGCGCAAAAAAGTGAAATTTACTTTAAGGGGTTCAAAATTTCAACTGCCTTTTTATTTAAACAATTGAGATCATATTTTCCAGACTGCGATAAGCTAACATCCATATTTTGAGGGTCAGAATTCCAAATCCGCGGGGGAAAAAAGTACGTTTTTCAGAGAAAATAAGTTTTTGTATCTGATTGAATTTATTGTAAAATTAAAATATCGTCTGAATTAATAAACTAGCGCATTTAAAATTTGACCCACTAACCCATTGAGTCCTAATACGGGAAAATCCGATTATTTAATGAAAAGTTATTCAGGATGTCCACTTTTTAATTTTGCACACGCCCTTTTTCAGAAAATATCGAATCGATTTTCAAATTCTCTCTATTTGCTTTCTTTCCCTTCATGCATAAATTTATAAGTTCTTATATTTAAATAATATTGAATTTATCAGTTGTAATTTTTTTTCCTTATTTTCATGATTAAATATTTAATTGTATTCCTTTGTCAGAAAAATTTCAAACTCAGCATTATTTTTAAAGCTAAAATTTGCATCAATATTTAGAATATAATTGAAACCAGTTTAGTATAAATTGAAAAAAAGGTTGCTCAAATTTAACTAGTTTAACAAGCTAATAGTTTCTCCATAATTTAATAGATTTAATTCAGTAATTTTTTATTTTAATAATTTTATATTTTAGTAACTTTATAAATTACTTTACTATAGTGATGCTTTCTGTATTCCAATATTTTCTTTAAATAAAAAGAATATTAAACAGGTAAAAAAAGAGTAGTTGTAGTAATGAATAGTGGAGTGCACTGTTAAAATAAAAATTAACAACCAGTTTTAGTTAAATGTAATTTATTATTTTATATATAAAACATATTAGATTAATGCACTAGCTCAGCTTGATGTATTAAAATATTTCTAATTCTTTTTTAAAATCATAATTGAACAATACAAAACTTCTTAAAATAATATTAGATTATTTATGTGCGAAAATCCTGAGCACAATAAAAAATACTAGTTTAATTGTTAAGTTATTTTAACTATTAATTTAAAAATTGGTATGTATCACTGCAAATGATTGATAACAGTCGCTTTTTAAATTTAACTGATTTAAAATCTTTTATTAGAGTGTCAAAAGACAACTTTTCTACATGATTATATTTAAATTTCGCCTCGTTTGCGAGTGTGTTTTTTTGTAATAACCATATTTGCGTTTAAAAACTCGCTGTGCCAGCTGACTATTAGTGAATTCACAATAAAATTAGTGTTCAATACAAGCATATTGTGCGTTATAAAGCAATCACTCTATCAGTCTTAATTTATATGACTTAAATACAAAACTCACTTTCAGTTGTTAATTTTTACAGAAGAAAAATCAAAATGATCTAACAGAGATTCAATTATGAAGTTAACTTATTATTAATTCAGAACTTTAGCTGTATATTCAACATATTAAATGTGTAGAATATTTTTGATTGTGATTGTAATGAATTAACTGAGTGTAATTAATTGATTGTAATAAATTTTTTATTTTGCATTATAATTTAAAATAAATTTTTAAACACTACGTTTCCGTTTCAACGTTTTAATTCTACGTTCAAGTGAGCGAAGAAAAAGAAAGAATTCGATTTTGCCACTCCTAAATCAAAAAACGCTGGACACATCACTTTCTAAAGACGGAGAGGGAAGAAAAAGCTTGTGATAGGATTATCACCAATTCCTTTCTTTCTCTCTCTCCTCCAGAAAGTGATGCTCCTATATTTTTCGTTTTTTTCTTTTTATTTCACCTAAGAAGCATAGTTCTTAAAATTTTTATTTTATATTTTATTTTTCTGATTTTGGACCTGTTAATGTTTGAAAAGGTCGAAATTTTGATTGCCAATAAAATGGAGATAAATTTTGATTTGCTATTTTTAGGAAACAAATGTAACTTGAATTGCCATCAGATACAGAGCTTCAGTTGAAATTTGAGGTTTCTACTTATAAAGCGAAAAAAAGTTTTGTTTAACGAAAAATTCTCTTTCGTGATAAAATGACGATAAACGTAGCTTTCAGTGATCCGGAAGCAAACTCTGTTTGTTGTGGTTAGGAAACGACTTGTATTCTCAATAAGTACACAGTTTAAGTGAAAATTTGAGTACTCTAGCTAGTTGGAATGTAGATGAACTTTCAATTGCATGTTACCATCGTTGCAAATTCGAAAGCGAGTTAATTCAGTTAATAATAATAATAAATACTGTACGTAATGAGAAAACTTTTATAAATTCACGGAGAATCGTCATAAGTCCCAACACTCTCAGAGATGAAAGAAAAGTTGTTTGTAATTTTTATTGATTATTAATTCCGTTTTTGTACAGTATAGAGCTTCTGTTGTATGCTTTTTTCATTCTCTATAAAAATTCGTTAAAGTTCGATTTTTTTTTTTCATGAATAGTCACGTGAAATCCACAGTAAAAAAAGTTTTTTTCATTTAATTTTTAGAAGAAATAATAATTAAAAAATATAATTAAATTTTTAGCAAAATTATAATAAAAAACATTACGGAACACCCGGAAAGTTTGAATAAACAATTATGTTATATTCCATAGAATTAAAATGGAAAAAAAAAATAGTTTGTGGGTCAGGAATTTTTTTTTTTAAATAAAACACCAGAATTGTCAAAAATATTTTAGCTCGGCTCTAAGATCAAAAAATATGTGGTTAGCGTTGAAAACTCTTCAAAGAGTTAATTGTTTAATTTTGATTCCCGTTACAGATCCTCTGCAAAAACTTTTTAAATTTGCAGTTATATAAATTTACTTTTGCAACTTACTTCAATTTTATTAAAGAAA